CCAGTGGTATTTTGGTTAAGAATGCAGCCAGCTTCAAAGCACAATTTGATCCTTGTGCGTGCTGTGGTGAATGCAAGCCATGGGTATTTACAGAGGTTTAAGGTGGTAATATCCATGTTGGCAAACTTAGAGAGAGGAGCTTAGGGACATTCTTGATGCATAGTATATACTCGGGTCTTAACAGTGTCTAAAAACTAATGTTTGAGTCTCTCACTGCATCTTGGTTCTGGAAGACAGTTAAAACATGTAGAGTTCTTTTTTGAATATCTTACCAGCTGCAAAATGCATTGAGAACATTAACTGTTGAACTTAGGTGTATCTTGTATACCTAAATACTGTATACTCCTGCAGATGACACCTGTTTTGCACCATTATTTCACTGAGAAAGGAAGAGTAATGCGGTATTTTGTATGACATATAATTTAGATAAAGAGCAGTTTACTTTTCTATTTCAGAAGGTAATCTAGTCTTGTTTTTTTAAAAAAATTATATATACAGGCATATATATATATAGGCTCAATAGTTTCAGTATGCGCATATATATATATTCACAACATATTTGGCCATTCTTTAGCCGCCTTTTGTCTGGGGGAACTCACAGCATGTTTGACCAGTTTGTAGCCTTTGAAATACACCCTCAGCTAGGGCGCTAGAGATGCAATGGGGCTGTTTCAGTACCAGTCTTGCCGAACTGGCTGACCCCCGGGGGACGGCAGTGGAAACGGAAGGCCGATGAGGGCCTTTCTCTGCCAAAGGGAGGGGGAGTCTGTCGTGTCATTTGTTACACGACAGCAAGTCTCTTCCCATATTTCAGGTGACAGCAGTAATAGGAACTATCAACAACATGCTGCTTCCCTCACTCAAATCAAGTCAGTGAAATAAGCCCAAGTTTATTCATCCAGAAAAGTGAATGAGATATTTGTGAAGAGCCAAAGTTTAAGAAAAAGGGAAAAGCCCCAGCTACAGTCAGTATGTACCAGAGCGCCTTATTTTTACCCTGGCAATAAAACCACTTGCCAACAGGTTGTAGCCTGCAATGGCTAAGCCAGCCACCAGCAGGCTGTCCCAAGCACATGCACGGAAAGGCCTTGCTACTTGTCCCCACACAGAGATCTCGCATTACTTTAGGCCCTTTTCATGACCTTTGCAAACCACGCGATGATAGACTTTGTTCCGGTTCGCAGTGTTGTCTCTCACCTCAGCTCTGGGTTGATTTAAGGCAATTTATTGTGTGACTTTGTTTCGTAACATGCTGCTAACTGCAAAAACCACTCTATAATATAAGTAATTTTGACAAAGGGACTGAACAAGTCCACTGACCCATTACTAGAAGTAGCAGATGCTGGTGATGAGTTAAAAATCAGTTCATCAAGTGAGTGAAAGTAGGCAGCTGCTGCTTTCGGAAGGATGCAGAGTGAATCATAGAATCATAGGTTGGAAATGACCTCTAAGACCAAGTCCAACCATCAGCCCAACACCACCGTGCCTACTAAACCATATCCCGAAATACCACATCTACACATTTTTTTGAACGCCTCCAGGGATGGTGACTCCACCACCTCCCTGGGCAGCCTGGTCCAATGCCTGAAGGCTAACAGGCTGCTTTGCTAACTGAAGCCCGTTCTCAGTTGTAGTACCTGCTGGCGTGCATTAGGTCTGGACTGAGCTGTGCCAGCAGCCTATAACCCTCAGCTTGGAGAAAGGGCTGGTGACTGAGGAGGAAGACCATAGTAACTGTTCCTTTTTTTTTTTTTTTTTTAAATAAACCAACTTCCTTGGTACCAAATTACTTCTGAGAGGTCTAAAATGGCTAGAGACCCAAGGACCCAGATGTATCAATATATACACTCCTCTTAATTACAGTAAAAAGACTTATTTTCAATTTATGAACGTACCTGACACAGCTATATCATCTATCACTTATCACATAGCCAAGGATACACTTCTGCGCGGTTTTTTATTACAGGTTTTCTCCATTGTCTAGTACTTAGGAGAGCCATTAACAAAGCAGGAACCTGTTATCTTTTGAGAATAAATCTGCATATCCTAAAGTGTCTGACACCACTGTTCTCGTTCAAATGGTAATGCTGTCCTTTATCTTCATTTATGTTAAGACTACAAGCTGGTACCCGTGAAGGTTTTGGGTGCTGCTCCATACAAGAATACGCTAGAATACCACAAATGTTGCGACAATGCCCAGAGCCAGCAAGTTCAATTTACTGTGATGGAAAAGTCCTTTTTCCTCTGCACACTCATCCCTGGAAACTGGACTGGCTTCCAGTCACACTTCAAGCCTTCTGTGGAAGACATGAGATCTTGAGTTCCCTCATTACTGAATGGATTACATTTTTTGTAAAAAATTTTTTTTGTAAAATTGTAGATTTAAAAAGCATTGAGCCTTAACAACAAAATGGTTTTAAAACATGAAACAGTGACATTTCATTAGGTCAGGCTGGATGAGGAAGACAGAACATTCACATTTATATTCCATTTATTTCAGGGCCTCCTGCAGAAGCAGAAGGAGTTGGAGACTGCTCTGATTCCTGCTATAGCTCAAGAAGAGAGCTTCACTCCGACATTTTGAGGTACATAGGAATGTTCCAAGTTCTTAAAATGTAAAGGCACAGCACTTTGTTTGCTACTGTAATTACTTATGAACCCTCTCTTTTTTATGAAATATTTAAATTATGTGAATTCTGATAGATTACAGGGTCATGTTGCTTTTCATATCAAAGATACATTAAACTATGATGCTGTGTCTGTTTAGAATGGTCTTCATGCTGCCTGAAGACATATGTCCATTTAATGTAAACCACCAAACACAGTATAAAAATGTTACATGGGTTTTTGTAGAACTCAGTCTATGTATTTTGATAAATAAAAGGATTAAGATGTACTCTGAATGGCTGGGGTAGATTTTGTTGGTATTTTTATCTTTATGGAACTGCTTGTACTTAACTATTCAGACAGCTTTTAGGTTTAGACAATATATATATTAACTCACGTAATCCCAGATTTTAAGACCACAGAAGTGCTGACTACAGACTTTTCCCCCCCCTCTCAATAAACAGGATAGCAGCACTTAACATTACAGTGGGCTGGGTCCCAGGCAGCAGAACTCCAGTTAAGGCAGTTTTCTTGTAAACAAGGTGTGAACAGCTCAGTATTCAGTGCTTCCAATCAGAACAAATGTTTACTGTAGACAAATTTGCTTTTAAGTCTTCAAAAATAGGGTAATGTGGGTAAAACCATTTGTCTTCTAGATCTTGTCAGCAGATGCGTAACCTGAATTCATGGTAGCTGTTCTATGATATCATGTGATAAAAATGGCACAGAACCTCCAAACCAAGATTCCTCCCAGCAGCACCTATGCTTAGGCATAACCTCCATCTGAAGGGACCTTACAGCAGGAGCAAAGGCAATAAAGGTGTGCTCCTTCCTCTCATTTGTCCGCCCAGGCAGGCAGTCGGCGAGAGTCTACAGGGGATGGTGGAGGTGGTAGCACAGTTTTTCATAAAATCCTTTAAGGTTATTAATACAAGGGAGGGTTTTTTTGTAAAAAAGAGATTATTTATTTGCCATATTTGGGGAGGAGGGTAAGAACTGCTACACTAGTACTGCCTTGTTCTTAATTTAAACAAATAACTGTTAACAGAACGAAAGACATTTGACTTCAGGGAAAAGTCTATGGCCTTGGTTTGTTTGTTTTTTAAAAGCTACCTTTTTTTACTCAGTAATACTTCTCCCAACTCATTTTGCAAGTTTAGTCACGTAGTTTCAAACACTGTCATCCAGTATGAAACTGCACATCCTACATAAAAGCACTAAAATAAAATCACAAACAGGAAAAAAACCACCAAACGTGTAACTTTGGACAACCTGAAGACAAGAGCAGTAAACGTGTAAGTCATGAGTATTAGTATGTGTAAAACAGCGCTGTAGTAATAACGGCAGGCCTGGGCTCCACAGCTTTTTACCATCAGTTGCTGTTTTCCACAAGCCTGAGTCAGAAGATGGTGTACACAACGAGCCAATGAAGACAGCATCACTGGGAAAAGTTTATGACGCAGCAGATGTGAAAGTAAAAGGGGCAAGATTAAAACAGATAAAACTCTGTACTTATGACAATGCTAGTTTAAAAAACAAGCCAAAACAAAACCACACACCAGTAACCATTATGCTAAAGGGGGACAGGACTGCGGTTTTTTCTAATGCAGATTGAACTACCCCAGCCATTAAACCCAGGTTTGTCCTTCTCTCGTCACAGTAATTACAGTGGCAAGGTAACAATTGTAAGATCACTCTGATGGTGATGTAATAAGCATGGAGTATCAAAACTAGACACAAAGATCATTGCTATCTCATGAAATAAAGTTTGGGTTTGTTTCTCACATACTTTGAAAACACTATAAAAACCACAGACAATGCAATGTATTAGCAAGTCCCTTGTGCATGAAGTTTATTTTATTTTTGTAATGGAACTGCACCATTGGTTACTCTAATTGAGGTATTTAGCCAAAATCCAGTATAGAGTCATTAAAATAACTACACTGCCTTAGAGCTATGTAAAAACATTTGTACAAAATTTGTGTCAAATGTCAAATAAATACATGTTTTGATATTTATGTAAAGAAAAGTGATTTGAATACTCTTACAGTTAAAAAAAACCTTGCCGTTTCACATACTTTAGGCAAACATTCAGTTTTACATTAAAACAGACCTCAAACTGAAGCCCAGGTACAGGTCAAATACAAATGTAGAAACTTAAAAGTGCCAACAAACAAGATAATTCAAGTACAGTAAATGTTAAAAAATATATATATTTATTTCAATTTTCAGATGCTTCCAACAGGTACAGGCCATCAGGATTTAAATAAGACAAGAAAACATTTGAGATAAAGGACAAGAAACATTTTGTTCCAGAATAAAATAGAAATTGTTAATCCACCATTTTAGAAACAGAGAAGTCCACAGCAACTTATAAAAAGAGACTTACGAGTTTATTTCTGGTTTGAGTATGGCCTGGAAGAACCACAATTTATATCCCAACCACCAGGCGATGACTTTTCTGTATCCGTGCTCTGACTGTAAGCAGAGAGAAAATAACTGCCCCCTTCTTGGTTTTGACTTGCAGAGGAAATGGGGTATGTTGTTCCCAGAAAAGTCTGATGCGTGAGCACGTTGAAGTGACTGAACTGATAGGACATGTTCAGTTGTCTGCTGTAAACCTGGAAGTTATTGAAAGGAGCTTGTTCAACTGACTTGTGGTTTTCTCCCTCAGCAGAGCATGTTGTAGAAACTAGAGTAATTGGTTGTATCTCTTCCAAGTCAATTTTAGAAGTCTTTTCCATAACGCCAATTTGTGCTTTAGGAGATAACTCCATAACTGATAAGCAGCTTGCTTTTGCACCTACTCCATGTGAGCCCTTGGCCTCTGTCTGCAAAGCTTCCACATGAGTTTCAGAGGCGTCATTGTAGATTTCTATTTGTGATGTTTCATCCCCTGAATCCAGAGACATGTCCTCCTCATCCTTTTCATCGTTTTCTACAAGAACTACATTAAAAAAGAGAGAAAGTCCTATTCTATTGAAATACAAACTTTTGTTAGAAAAGCTATACACTACTCACAGAGTGTTACGCTTCAGGTCTGCAAGTCCAATATCACTTATGTCTTGGTCTTCTGCCACTCTTGTTCACTTACTCAACATACACACTTAACCCTCTGTGTGAGTGTCCAGTTATTCCGATGCTAAAAGCTTCTGCGCACTGTGTTCATGCTTAGTGTTGGGAAATCCCAACTCCCAGCTCCAAAGGGGTTAATGTCAAAACAGCATCTAAAGTTATACAGTAGGTGAGTATTTGATCAGACAATCAAAGGAGTACAATTAGTGACAATCTCAGTCCTTTCGTTATGGTTTCTAAAACCTATCATTAAGTTTATCCTTCTCCTGAGAACAGACAGTTACACCGCTCTGGCCTATGTCTAACTTTCCCGAACACCACATTAGCCTGTAACTCTGTATTTAAGATCTCCTCTGGTGCTCCATCCCAGCTGCTTTTCCCCCATCATTTAAAATAGAAAAAGAGTAGCCTGAGAGTTGGGTTTTCCTGGCCATCTGCAGTGTTCATTTACAAGAGTAAAGGCACACTATTTCATCCACCCCACACATCTAATTAGCTAAAGAAAGTGTAAGTGTGTTCAGTATTACCTGATTGTCTTTTGTGCGGATCAGAGTGAGGAAGGCTGTTTTCTTCAGTAACCGAGTTGTGATACCCAACGAGACTTTTAAAATTTTGCATAAAGTCATCAACAGTAGCAACCACTATTCCATTATCAACGTAATTTGAAAGTGTTCTGAGATTCTTTTCTGAATACGCAAAATGAGATTTTTATTAATACTTAGCACCTATTATCAAAAGAGGGAGAGAGATATCTCTAAATTTTGTTTTTACCTGTTAAGAAGACAACGTGTCGCTGTTGTATGTTTTGAGCCTGAAGCCTGATAAGACAGTCTAATTCGGGAGCGTTTCGAGTTTGAGAATCACAGTTATGGTAAGACAGAATCTCAACCAAGTGCTTCTTTTGATAGGTATTCAGAAGGGTCAGCAGGCTCAGGGCATTAGCATTCATTCTATAACGGGGAAAAAAAGCACACTATTAGAAAGATAATTTTAATATTTATCCTGACCTTAGATCAAGTAAGTCAAAAGACATTCGTAAGTTCTACTTAACTAGGTTTTTTAGAGCATCATTGAAGCTGAAGCATAGTAACAACTGGTATTTGAAGAACACCACTTACCTCCCCAGCTCTTTAAGTTTTTTTTGTATTTTGCAGTGGACTTTCCACTGCCATTTCCCATCTGGGGTACTGAGGTCCTCCAAAAACTTTAAGAACTGTTTTAGTTTATCTGTTTTGGGAGATATTGAATAGAAGTTAAATTTTGTGGTATGCAAACTGAAAATACTGCTTCAGTATATACATAAAGCTTCTTTCCGCTTTCATCAAAGTATAGTTGCACAACTCTGAACATTAGCCTAGTACTTTAGGTTTTCTTCCCAGCAGATTAGCCAACAATATTCCAAAACTGAGCTGCTTTTTTGTAGGTCAGATGCCTAACAGTGGCATCTGTTTACGTAAAAGCTGAATTCAGTCATACATGGTCTGCCTTGCTAAAATATCTATTTAAAAAACCTAGTAACTTCATTAACTATTCAATTTCAAATAAAGAAAAAGTGAAAAAATGTAAATTTTCAGTGTTTTTTTTCTGGCATACTTGCGGATTGAGTAATATGGAATAAAAGGGGCCATATACGTAACTACACAATCTAACACAAATAGAAAGACAAGATCTCCAAGTTCACATGTTCCCCAGAAACAGGTTCTCCAAAAAGGCCACTGAGATAAGAAAGAGACCGAATTAGCTGAAGTCTCAAAACAAAACAAACCACAAAACCCACAAAAAATAGATAGAAGACTTGATTCTTCACTGCGATGAGTATGGCATCTTTCTCATACTAAATTTTCGTCTTTTTTTGTCCGTATTTTAAAGCTTCAGAAAGTGTCACACTTACCTGTAGTGAGGGACTCTGGATTAAGGACAGATTCATCCGACACAACAAAACCGCCAGACACAAACAATTCATTGTAAGTGTGATTTTTCACATCATCCAAACTATCGACACCCGCAAAGCTGACACAAGAAAGCCTCTTCAAAGTTACTAAGCCAGGTATCTGTTTAAAAATGTTCTAAATCAGAGATGTATACCAAAGATGATAAAAAAGAAAAAAACCTACAGAACTTTCCTACTTACTAATACCAAATATCAAACTTCAAAACACATTTTCCAAGAATTATTATCTTTTTCCTCTTGCCATGGGAGGTGCTCTCTCACAAACATCACAGGCATGAGACAATGGAAGCTGAGCACTTAAGAGAAATTCTACTTCCTGTCCCGCACAGGTTCTTAAACCCAGCGGTCAGGAATCCCTACGGTCATCCGACAGCTGCCTTCACTTCCCACTGGAGCACCACCGAACTACTCATGTCTCTGCACAACTTTACAACTACTAAAAATAAGTATGCATTACCACTTATGTGGAGGTGGAAGAAGTTACAGGTGTATGGTGGAACAAGATCAGGTATTCACCACAACCACTTTTGTTTCTTCAAACGGCAGCTGAACACAGGACATCGTTTAAATGCTGTGTTGTTAGGAGAAAGCCTTGCTCAAAATGAGCTCGTCTCACCACATTTTAACAATAGCTTTCTGTAGCACACACTCACTTATGTGACGTACCTTATGGATGAGGTTGGCAATGTCTTCATTTTGGATAATTATCAACAGTTTATCTAAAGCAGCTCTTCTTTTAAGGAACTGTTCCGGATGGCACTCTGTGTTACCTAACTTCGTAAGATATTCCTAACACCACAGGGAGAGAAGATGGTGAAGAAAAGCCAGTAGGTAGTTCGGCCAAAACAACCCCCACACGATGACCACGTCAAATGAATCTCAGAGGCACTGGCTTCTTTGTCTTTCCGATACCTTAATCGGAAGGATGTAGCAACACAGAAATAGGCTGTTTCAGCAAGTCAGTCATTCGTAGAGAATCGCACATAAATGGCCAACTGACAGCCTATCAAAACTGCATGAGTTTTCAAGTAAAACCACAAGTTTTCATTATTTCCCTTTCAACTTTCATCTTACTCATTTAAATACAGAAGAACAGTAATCTCCAAAAGCTACCTGTATTATTAACTGGAGAGGAAGGGAAAAAAAAACCCCAAACTACACACATCGACTTTTCATTTTCTTTCTAAAATCATAAGCGATCATATTTTTGCTCTTGCTATTCTTTTTCCATAAGGCTACCTCCTGGCAGGAGCTTCAGAAAGAACCAAACTACAGCTTGTTCTGCTTTCCCACTGCAAGAAACAGACTCACGTAAAAGCTAAATATAAGCCAGGCTACCGCAGAAGCTCCAATGAGAAATGGGACCGGACAGCCTACTTTCACAATTCAACCTTTTCTGAAACAACGTTCAGACTACCTTATGTTTGCAAGTCCAGTTTTACACATACTGACTGGAAAGGCACTCTATTCTATTTTAACACTATAGAGAGGTTGAACTGGAACATATTTACCTTGATTTCTTTGCAGAGAATGCTTTCCTCCTCTTCATGAATATAAAATTTCACAGTGTTTTTCTGTACATCTTTAATAATTTTGACCAAACTGTTAAATACTTCCGGTTTTAACTGACTTATAAAATCAGAAAGGGCTGGCTGGGTTGAAATGTTTAAGTTCTCTGGGGATTTCTGTATCTTTTCTGGTGGCTCCATCAGATCACCACTGGAAGAGGTCTGACCAGATGTCAACGTATCCTCCGTTTTAGCATTCACATGATCCATTTCCTCCTTCACTAAGGGTAAGCTTGACGAACGCTGCTCGTTAGAATCCAGCTCTTCCACCACGTTATTACACAATGGCTCTGGTAACAACACCGTGTCAGAGTCCCTGCAAACAGGCAATGTGTCGGGTGGAGGATTCAGTGCAGCGTTACTAACCACTTCTGCTGATTCAGGACTACAATAAGTTGGTGGAGTACCCCTAGTGCACGAAGAGGACAAAATAACACTATTCAACTTCTCACTCAGTGTCTCTATATATTCTTGGACAGAAATCTCTGATGCCTGTAAACAGATGTACTCAGAAAGTCTCATTATTCTCTCTCGGGCAGAGAAGACTGGTGTGGACACACCACTAACATAAGCAATATTCTTTTGCTGCAAAATTTCCTGAATCTTTCTTGCAAAGAGATTATATTCTTCTAATAGTGTAGTCTCTATTATTGCACTAATGGAATGCTTAGTTGTAAAAGGGTGATCTGCTAGCCCACACTGATCTTCAAGTTTCTCCACTTGTCTTGTATAAAGTCCATCTTCTGCTGTCCCCTTTTGTGTGTCTGCAAATGGAGAGTATGGAAACTGATAATCAGAACTTCTCTGTCTACTTATTACCCGGGGGTCATTAGGAAAGGCATCCTTTGGCGGTAAATACACCAGTGGTTCTTCTGGTGATTTCAGACCTATATAGGAAGAGTTAATGATCATCATCTCATGTTTGAAAGTCACACACAACTGATATACTAAACCCTCCAAAATACAGTTGTAAAAGAGCACTACCGTTGTGCCTCCCCCCGCCAATCAACTTAAATCCAAAGACTCAAGTGTTACTGGCTGCTGAGCTACAGCACACTAAGATAGTAAACAATAAAGTCAAAGTTTCCTCAGAAAAGCAGAACACCAGTAATTTTCCCAGAGATAACATCTGATTAAGCATAACAGGAACTGCCTTAATTAAAAAAAAATTAGAAATCAAGCAGGGTGACAAATTATTCAAATACTTTCATTTGCTACTATCTTATAATCCTCAGACCTTCAAAAGGCTTCCTTTAGCCACACACTACCTTGTGGAGTTAGACTGCAAAGCGCAAGCTGCTTGTCTGATCTTGCAATTGAGAGCAGATTTTTTTTTGCTTAAGATGGTAGGACCTAAGTCTTACGGTAGTTTTTGATACACAGAACCAGTTCTGCTGCAAGCAGTGCTGAAAGCCTCTCATCATCCAAACCTTCTTACATTTTAATACAGCTAATCAGTTGCATACCAATTTTTAGCAATGACATTTTGGTCTGTGGCTCTCCTGTCTGCACCCCAATACCGGTAAAATTTCAAATCCCAAGGTTACTGAAAAAAATAATATACAATCCACTCATCCCAGTTTGTTAGAAAGTTTCTATAGCAATTATATTAGGAAAAAAGTTTTCAAGTTATATACGATTAAGAACTGATCAGGTTATTCTCCAAAGGTATACTGGCATACAGAAAGACATACTGCTGAATATGATATATAACTCCAAAGTATTTTCTAACATGTAAAAAACATGATTAAAAAAATAAGAGGATGATTTAAACTAAAGTTACTGTTATTTAAACAGAATTCTCTGAAGGTGGCATCCTTCATAGATCTACACCTTTGCGTCACAAGTCTTCACAAAAAACCACATGCATGAGCAAGGAGCAAATCCCAAAGAAGTAAATAAACACTGCTACAATAATTAAAGTTCGATGTAGGATTCCAGACATACTCTTTGTTGGTAATACCTCGCAACTGGGTATGTCAAAGAAACCAAAAGGAGCACTGCCTGAAAATAACCTTGGAAAGAGCAGCTGTCAAAGAGCTGCAGAAGTACCTATCCTGGCAGACTAAGAGTCAAATTCCTCACTGCTTCAGAGAGGTCTTTCTACAGCAACTCCAGAAAGCGGATTCTTGGGTAGACTTTGAAATCAGAAATTCAAACACCACCTGACAAAGAAAGCCTAGAACATTGTTTCTTCATATCCAAGACAAGTGTCATCAAAAGCCATCACTTTTAAGAATGCCTATTAAGGCATCAATCTTCTCTCACGACAGAAGGAAGAATAAGCAAGAACAAACATCAGTTTTGCACTTAATGTCTAAAGCCAAAGCAGCATCTCAAATTCAACCCAAAACTGAGTCTGGATGCGTTTGTTAAAACACACACGTGCCTAAGTTCGCTTTCAAAAATCAGACTCAGGTTTCTTTCCTCTTGTCAGCAGTTTAGGTTATGTAATCATGAAGAAATGAACACCACCACGATACAGAAGCAGCCCAGAGGAGTTGAGGACCTATGAACAACTATGTTCTCCTACACTTTCTCATGTTGGGAAGAAGCAAAACAAACCCCCCACTCCTCAAGGCACAACTATAAAGAGTTGAGTTTTTAAAGTACGTTTAGCTGAATATGATCCTCGTATCAAAAGTACAATGTATTTTTGTTTAAAAAGAAAAAACAAGAGGTTGCTAATTTGCCTTCCTGCAATTGAGCAGAGATTAAAAATAAAGATTGATGTTCTCCAAATTCCTTTTTATAGCTACCTTACTACAAAAATGAGAGACAGGGAAAAGCCACTGGATTTAGAAAGATACCAGTTTCAGAAAAGAACAAAGCTTCCTTTAAATTACGTTACTGAATCAATCTTAATTCCCTAGAATAAAAATTCAAAGCCTTCTAGAAGATACCATACCAGGAAGAATCGGCTGCCAGTAGCCCAAACCATTGAAGGCTCTTCTGACTGCCCTACAGCCTTCTTGATGTACTTCAATAAAATGAATCTACTTGCTGAACAGCGTATTACTGATCTAATTTTCTGATGAAAATTCAATACCAGGTGAGAATACGAGTTGCTCAGTAGTTCAGACCACAGTGACATATGCAAACTGTCCCACCCACTCTTCTCACCTGTTTGCTTACATTCACATTTTTCAAGCTGATCCTCTTGAACTCCTCCTGCCCCTCCTGAAGTCAGCAGCAGGTGGCATTTGTGGGGTTTCTTGGTACTTACATAGCACCTTTCTGATGATCACACTGCATAGTTAGTCAATACTTGCTGCAGTATGAGCCAATTTGAAGAACTGACCTCATGGGAACTCAGGATATCCAGTGATGCTCAAGACAATCTCTTTCACCTCTAGAAAGGCACTTCTCCCTCTTAGAAGACTTTAGAAACGTTTTTTTCTAGTAAGATTCCTAGTCGCACAGATGACTGTGCAACATGTCAGTCAATTGACAAACCCTTGCATGAACTCCCACATCCAGTGTCTATGACGTATTACAGTTTTTAGATGCTTAATCATCCACTTAACTAGTTACCTCAGCAACCATATCCTCACCTATATGCACAGCGGCCACTTCCTCCAGGAGTAAAAGAAATAACATCCTCTCCAAACAACTTTACTGATCTATACTCTGTAACTTGGCAAAGTATCAGAACAGATTTTTGATGTTTGACTCTCAAAGAAAGTGCAGAAAATGTTATCCAGAACTTCCCGGATATTTCGTTGAAAGGCCTACGAATACTGTGAAGGGAAACCCATTTCCCCTGCCCTCCTCCCTTCTCAGTCAAACAAACAAACAAGAGCTGCTGAACTACCCAACTGCAATCAGAATCTGGTATCAGAAGTGTCCAAGAGACAGATTCCAGCATTGCTGGAGCACAATCAGAAATCAGTACGTTTCTACTGAGATAATGCATTGAACAAATTCTATCTGGATTTAGCCATAAGATGACTTAATTCATAGCCTTCACTGTAGTGCTCTTGGTGACTATTCTTCCAGCCCAGTTTCCACATCCTTCAAATCCATGCTTTTATGCTGTCCCAAGATTTGAGACTGCTGACTCATTAAGAAGCAGAACAAGAAGCTGCTTCTATAAGATTAAGACGTAAATGTTTAGATAAGGACAAAGGCTTTGAAGCACTTTTACTTCAAAAGCTTGATGCAATATGAAGTCAACTACTTTCTATAAGAACAACACATTTTTCGTTACTTTCCTGGATTACTAGTTGCGATTATCCACCCACCAAAACTTTCAGCAGAACCTAGCAAGTTCAAACACTGAATTCATAACAGCTGTGTACCCCACAAGATAAATACTCTAGCATTCACATTTCTAGATTACGTCAGTATGTGCTCAAAGTAATATTCTCGACCAGTATCTGTTTTCATCCAGCAGATTTCTATATTAATCAAGTATCAGAAACAACTGCATAGGCTATAGATATGCTTGTGTATCAATACGTGAACCAAGAATAGGATCTATGAAAGACACAAATCTTTAGAACATGTTTCCACTCAGTATTTGTAGCAGCGTAAGAGTTAAACTCATCTTACCTGTAATTGGAATAAGTTTCCAGTGCATTCCAACTTCTCCTATGTTATTTGAGTTGGAATGTTGCCTGCGATAAACATGTTCTATAGGCGTACTAGGACATGGACTGTAGTCTTCAAAACAAGTTACATTTCCAGTGCTTGCTTCCTACAAAACAATAAAAATTCTCAGCTCAAAACTGTTTTTTTGGTAGCTATCAAGCTTTTACATTCTGAACAGCTGACAGTAAGAACGCACCTGAGTTCACCAGCATACTGGCAATTCTGCCATCAATCAAGTCAAGTCAAACCTGGAAATGTTTACATGAGGTACTTATAGATTTCATTTACCTGTTTGATAATTTCTGAGACAGACGTCTTTGCTGGTGGTCTAGCATTAAGTAAATAAGGCAGTCCTGAACACATGCCTTAGAGTACAGAAGCTGGGTGGGGCATGGAGAAAAGGAGGCAAAGAGGGGAAAAAAAAAAAATAGAACTGTCTACTCCTTAGCCTTTTTCAGGCTGTTGTCTTGATAGCTGACTAAAGTCATGAGACGTTGGCATTACAGAGGAACTGCCTGCAACTAGTATTAAACCCTTGAACAATCCAATTTCATCTCACATTCCAGACAGTTAGAAGCAGAACAGCAGAGACTACAGGTAGGACAAACTCCTTCCTGCTCCATGACTTAGAAACTGGGCTTTGTGTAGAAGTATCAGTAACACAAACCATAGAACAACCACTCTGTAGAGTAACTTGATGGAGCAAGCAGCTGGGGAACTCTGAACACTAAGCACAAGAGCCTTTTTCAAAGGGTGTTCTGCCAGTTATATGCAGTCATGAAAAGTATGGGTGGAACACAGACACACCACTGCACCAAGAGGGCACATGAAGAGAGATAGCCATGTGGTTTAAGTGCTCAGAATGTGCACCTGAAGTGTTCAACTCTGCTCCCACCAAAACTAAATAAAGCCAATTTCCCAACCATCTTTAATATCCATAGAGCATTGAAGACCTGCCACTACGCACGTTTCTTAATGCTTACTCACTCAGACACTGCTAGAGGGACAGAAACAAGCCCCTCAACTTCTCCACAGCACAAGACCAAAAGACAAGGATTGCAGGATCCTCACTTGTGCACACAAGTGAAGGGCGCTTTCCTGCCCTGTAAAATGCCTGCTACTGTTAAGAACGAGAGAGAATACACTTTGAAGAGGCTGGACCAAGACCAACACCCAAAACTGGAAAATAACTACACTTAGAGCAAAAGAATGCTTAATGATTGCAAAGCAGTAAGAATCACTTTATCAACCCTGACGTACTGTCACTAGAAAAGGTCACTAACTCACACATGGGTACAGTCAGCTGAGGAAACCTGTTGCCACTGGGTTTTTTTGTTTGTTTTTAAGATAATAGTCCAGAATCCATAAAGCATATTTAGTTCCCAAAGACAAATCGACTTAGTTTTGCCAATCTGTTCTATGCAGACGAGACAGCTATCATTAAAAGGTAACAGCTGTCATTCTGCTTCTCCAGAGTAACTCTTGATCACCTGTCGATAAACATTCTTGTTTAAGATACCTCCAACCAACTCTGAATACCAGATCGCAATTTGACTTCTTTCACTTTCTTGCTTATGACAATAAAGCAACATGCCAAAAAAAGCCTTGAAATTATACAGCCTACAACTGATGTATTTATTTTTGGTTTGCATTTGGGGGGAGAAGAAGGCAGAATTCTGAGTGTATAAGCTTTGAAAGAGATCTTCTCAACTTAGATCTGGCAGGAGCCTGGTCAAAAACAGGCTCATTTCTGTGCCCGAGATGGAATTCCATAATCATGACAAGTTGTCATATTCAAACCACCTATCAGGTCTGTAAGGCTAAAGACTAAGCAGTGCACAATCATTAACGGCCTGCCCTGCAACCACTGCAGAGAGAGTCCATTACAGACAGAAACTCCTACCTTATAACCCATTTTCAGGAAGAGTAACAGCTAAGCAATAACTCTGATGAGGAACTCTCCCATGTCTCCTGACTGAGCTTCAGGTTCAGTAAACCTCAACACCCTAGTCAGACCAAGAATCGCCCCCAAAGGAGGAAGATGGAAGCAGTATGCAAGCTGTTACAGTAGCACTGTACCTGTTCCAGGCAACAACTTCACAGATTGCTAATTACCACCATAAGCAAGGTGAGAGCCAGACTAGAGTATCTTTTTTTCTACAAGACGCAAAAGACAACTGCAAGGCTTTGGTCTCAGCAAATACGAAAAAAACCCCTCATATACAGAACTCGGCCACGAAATGACAGAAGGTTTGCTGCCTATTGCTGAAGCAGCAACATATGACACTTACTGTAAAGCTAGTGAGGAAGGCTGACCATGGTTGCTTTCCATCTTTCAGGTATTCTTAATTATAATTTTATTTTATTACAGAAGAGTAGACATAAAGAACCAGGAACATGTCCTAGAGGTAAGAAAATCTCCATATGTGCTCCTACCAAACAGCAAAGCTTCTTCACAAAAAAATTAGTGCTTATCTATGTTTACCTATGTAAAAAATTACAATGTTTTTTCATTCAGTCTCATAATATTTATGAAAACAGTAACTTCCTTATCAGCATCTACCAACTCGGCAGTTTCACTTACTTTTAAACGTAGCGTGTGTTCAAGGCCTACTTCGTTAGCCGAAAGCTGTAGATCAACATCAACAGGGTAGGGTAAGCATACTGCATCAGTTTCCAGTATCACTGGGCTCTGTGGGTCCTTAAAGTTAACATTTTCAGCCTGAGCAGTATTAGGAAGCTCATGATCATCTTTGTCCTGCGCTGGAATGGATTCATATTCATAGTTTTGTCTCATATCCTCTTCAATTTCATCAGTGCTTAATCCTAAAGCTTGATTTACAGACCGTGCCAACGACGAATCCAAGCGTCCTGCACTAGCTAGCGTTTCTAAAAGCAGTTTAATGAGGCCATGTGTGTCAGATACAGCAGGGTCGGATACATCTTGCTGCCTCAAGTCAGTATCATGTCCAAGACCAGTATTAACTGAGAAAACAGAGTGTGGCGAATCCGAGGTTCTGCCCCCTTAGAGTAGGGGGAGGAGGGGAAAAGTAATCCATTACTAAGTTTTAAAATAAAAACAAAACCAGACCCACCCTCCCCCAAATATCTATCATATACCCACAGTCTCACTCTTTAGCATCAATTCATACAGTACACATACATTCATCTTCTTAACAAAAAATTTTAAACAGGTAGATGTTGATAAAAGGGCAGCTTTCTAAAGCTAATACTCTCCCCCAGATAAATAATTACCTTTTTTTAGGTCTCTCAACATCACACTTGTTTATGTTTTAAAAGCAGTCACATACTATGATTTATGTATTTTATGGAAACCTTGTAATACTCTCCATCGCTTTTTGAGAGAAAAAGATTAGTTTGAGGAAAATATTTACTTCTCTCCATCCTATCACTGTTGCTCCAGAAGCTGTGAGTTTCTGAATGCTTAACGTCACAAGCTATCTTAGACTAAGTGTGATTCTAAAACTTTACCATGCCTATTTATACTAAAACGTGACTTTAGAACAGGGTTATTATTCTACTCACCCCATTGGATGAGTAAATACCATAGGTATTTATTCTTCTTGGAAAGAGGCAGGCCAGGGAACCACTTCCAGTATCTTACGAACCCCTAACTCACTAATCATATATGGAAATCGAATCATGTTTTGATACTTCAGCTCACAATATTTTAGGCAAAATTTTTTGCAGGACTAACAAATTACTTTCAGGGTTATATAAAACCACAGAATTCAAACCATAGACAGATGTTGCTGGTTTGGTACCCCTGAAGGAGTTAAGTCAAAATTTAGTTTTAAATAAATTCTGCTCTGATCACAGCCAGGCAGAAATGCCTTAATCTATTTCATATTAACAATCAACGTAAAATGACCCCAAAGATTCACAGACTTCCAAGCAAGAATCCCAAGATCTAGCACATAGCCTACCCTCTGTCTCTGTCCACACATGCCAGCAGCTTTTGTCCCTCTCAAAAGGGAAACTTATTCCTAACATCAGCCACTTCATCTCCCAAAGTGATTCACATACTCGTAAGAATGACTGGCACTTGATGTAATTCCCCTTCTTTCTGCCACCCTTCTCCTCAGTTTCCCCCTTTCTCAAGGAGGCCTCCATCACGGCCTTGAGAAAAGGGTCGGGGAAGCAGAAGTCAGAACAGGTTTTTTGGCAGATCTTAAGTATCAGATAATGTCTGTGATAATTATCTGAGGTTTGGACGTAGGTAATTTCATGTACAGAGTAATTAAATCCTAATACTATTAGGTTGTTTCCTTCGCCCCACTACACACATTACTGGCTATTTCAAAACTTAACTGTGCTCATGCTTAGAATTTAATTCTCCCCTTCAATCTAAATTTATTAGGTATTACATAGGGTATTGGAGCCATAAAGAATTACAGCAATGCCTAAAGTCAAACTCTGCAAAAGACATTACAACACCAAGACCAAGACTGGTTAGTACTCTATATTAGAACGTCTTTGGACAGCTGCACAGCTAAGCAAACTCTTGGGCAGTCTGCCTTCTTTCCAAAGAGGCAGAACAAAAGCAGCTTCCATAACAAGTCCTGTTAACTTGTCTTCTAGAAAGAGGCAACCTACATAAACTACATCTCTATTGACAGATCTCAGGCCAACATTCAAATGAACTACCATGCATTACAATATCCACGGTACCCAAAAAACATTCAATCTATAAAGCTTAAAAGTTAAGTACACTTTGAATTACAATGTTTAAAGAGGAACTCTAAACAAAGACTTTCTTACCTTCATACTGAAAACTATTCTCTGAAGATTCACTTATTTTTAAGTATTTCCGCAAATTTTCAGACTGTTTTTCCAGCTTCCTTTTCAGACCACTTTTATTTCTAAGGTCTTCAGAATCAGAATCTCCACCTACATTTTTTTTTCTACACTGGATTAAGTTAATAAGTTCTTTGAGTCTTTCGGTATCATAATCTCCAGAATGAGGCAGTTTTCGCTTGGCAGCAGTGGCTTCATATTTTGCACGGATTCTTTTCCCACATTTTGCATTGGCAAAATCAGAGTCGTCTTCTGTGGCTTCATAATCTGAGATGGGACTGAACTGTTGAAGTTTCCGATTTCCCTCCATCAGTTCCTTAGCTCTAGAAACAGGTAGTTGATATGCCTCACAACCAAAAATATAGTTTTGCAAGGAGCTGTCAACATGAGATTTATTTTTTGGAGCAGGATAAAGAAATTTTTTGTCATCCAACCGTGATTCATACCGATATAAAACAAATTCTCTATATTTTCCAGAGCCACTACAGCATCTTTTCAAATACTCATTTATATACTTTTCCACAACAGCATTGAAATCTGCAGTAGTGTCTTTACGAGACTGGATTAAAGCAAAATGTAGAGACTGAATAAACTTTGTGAATTCTGGAATGATTTCCCGATTTTCGTGCAACACCATGGTAGTTGAACTTTTCTGTGTTCCAAATGGAACACTTTTTTGTGCTGCCATAGAAGAAAAGGGAATTCACAATTAAAATCAAATCATAAAGCCATAAATAAATGATGACTACTTAGCAATATTCTGTATTATACATATTTGGTGAAACACAGTTTGGAGTGTCTGAGGGGACATAACCCAAAAGTCAGGAAAGTATTTTTTTTGTGAAGTAATATATCACTTCCAATTTAAACCACTTTACTGACTCTTCTAGAAGGAGGTCACTTCAAAGGCTTACCAAGGTTTATCAAGAAGCAGCCTAACAGCTCCCTGCAAGACACAGGGGAATCATTACTCCCTCCTGTCCAATCCTGATGCATTCATTGCTCTAAGCTCACTGGACCCTTATAAAATGATTCAACTTAGTAACCCAGCAGAAACATATACAGTTTTTGCCATTCCTTTGCAAAGCAATACAACTCATTAAAGAGATGGAACAGCAGCATGTGCCTAGAGCAAGATTTCCCTGTCCTGGGAAGCTGTTAGATCCTTTTACCACATCCTTGAAACAGCAGCTCAAAGGAAGCTCTAAGTTATATCCTTCTTTTATTTTATTTATTCACACTCTTCCCCCCTTCCAATCAGAGACTAAAACTTCTCTCCATTCAACCACTTAAGCACCTCTGAAGACTCAAACCACTGATTAACCTTGTGTTTGACAGAAAATGGAGCTCACAAGTCTCTGAAATGTCACAGCAGCAAGAACTGGAGTATTTTTAAGGAACTGGCATACACATGCTTTAAATGTCATCTTATATCATATCTCATCTTACCCAATCTATAACTGATTGAATTTTCACAATTGTTACTTAAATAAGAAAAAAATAAGGGGTTAATTATAATTTAAAATGCAGATATAAGAATCTAGGAAGCTGCCAAGACTTCAGACAAGAGCTTCTTTGTAAAAGTGAAATGCCTAGGAAAAAGTATGTTCTGACGATATAAATTCTAACCCAGTGCAGGCCAAAAAAGATTGCATTCTCCTACTAGTACTACTTCTTGAAAATTTCAGCTGTAAGAGATTAACTTTAAATTCTCACCCCAAAGCATTAAAGTTCTACCAAAGCCAAGTCCTTTCAGTCATCTTTCATTACCTGGTTGTATCAATATTTTCTTTGCTCATTTATGCAGTTTTTGGTGCATATCCCAATGCAAAAAAAGAAAAAAAATTACAGGTACATTAAAGACTTTCAGATTTTTTGTTCTTAATGTTTTGATTTTTAAAGAAAGCCCTCAAACCTCTGAAGTGCAATTTTATTAGTAATGCAGAGATTTCTTGAAATACTGATGCTTGGTTCTACTAGAATATACAATCCAGAAATCTGAACAAAGTTTTACTTTCTAAAAAACGAACAAATGAACCTAAAACATGTAGTGTGAGAATTACTTTTGTGAAGAAATAAACACTTTTTGAACACCATCACCAATAAGCATAACCAATGCAAACTGTTATTTATAGTTTACACTGACAGGCTAGAACACTACGAAGTCTTCAACAGACTATAAACTACATTGAAATAAGCATGTACACAACACTCTCAACAGTGAACAAACTTACTTGAGCTCATTACACCTCTAGGTTCTGGAAACAGAAACAATGCATGTAGCATGCGGGGCCGTCCTGTTTGGTGGTCTAGAACAAAGAAAATAAAATCAGTTGAGAAGGAAAAGAACCCTATGTTTCAAAAGGAATCAAAAAACTACCCCCTAAAAAAACCCACACAAACCAAAACCAACTCAAAACCAAAAAGCCCAGAGTATGCATACCGTAAGGGGACATCATTTGCCAAGGAGAAAGAAGAAAAAGAAATCCTCTGTCCAGAAGTGGTTTCACAAGAACCTGTTTCCAAGCAAAAAAAGTATACCATTTCAAACAATCAAAGCCATCTGCTCACTACGAATACTCTTACTGTCCGTAAGCTAAATTCCATCATGGGTAGAGAAGTGCTCTGATACAACACTTAAGAATATGCCAGCTAAGGAATTCCAGTGAGATCACGGATCTTTGTAGTACACCTCAATTACTAGTTAGTTAAATTATTTTTGAAAACAGGAATAATCAAATCTGCTGCACTCACAAGTTTCTCTTTCTCTAGTTTCTGAAGTAAACCCTCCAAGTGACTACCAGAACGGGACTTCTCCACAACTTCATAAAGGCTACAGTACATGCCGTTCTTCAACACTGACAGGATATAAGGGTAGAAAGAAAAGATAAGAAAAACAGAAACAAAATTGGAATTCAGAAAACTTCTTAAAAATCTGAATATAAAAAAAATAAGCTACAACTATTTACCTTCTCTTGCTCCTAGGTAAGTTTCTTTATAGAACAACGCTGGTGAAATTTTTTTCTTCAGTTGATCAATGCTCACAACTTTTTCAATCTCAAGCTTCTCAGGACTGGAGACGGGGGAGGGAGGGGGGGTGAGAAAAAAAAAAAATAAAGACCTCTTTTTTCCTCCACAGTCCTACCCTCGTTGACCAACTAAGAACTATCAAATACACACTCTTACAAATCAGTTCCTTGGACTACCTCATGAGTCAGTGGTGTTCATTCCTGCAAAGGAGTGTGTGTCACTTCAAAGAGAAACAAACCCAAAACCCAACCAAACAAAAAAGAGATGCTGACAGAGTTGTGTGCATGAACTAAAAGCAGCTTTGGACACGCACGACTCCAGAATCTAGTTTGACACATTTACAGCATCTAGTCAATGTGTATGTTAGATTTTTATCTGAATATATCAAAAATGCACCAGTCTTCACTAGAAAGAGTTTTAACACAACAGTATTTTAAACTTACTCGTCAAATGGTAATACTCACAGCTTGCATGGAAGGAAAGGACGTGCTGCTGATTTCAAGGAAACGTGGCACAGAAGTTTGCCTTTATTCCAAAGCTGTCCCCTCCATAATGTATAGTTAGATTTATCTAAATTGAGGTAGAGAAAGACAGACTAAGCGCAACCACTTGCTAGGTGGGACTGAAAGGAAATGGCAGCGAAGAGGCTGCTGAATACTCCAAAAGCAGTTTAGGGAAAATTCTGTATTAATACCAGACAATAATATGTTAAATAATAAGTGAAAAGGTAACAGAAAGGGTGTTCACCCTATCTTGTTTGGATCTGCTCCGAGCAGAGTGAAGGAGGTTGGTGCATTACCTGTACCTGTCTATATAAGCATGCCCTTGATACCAACATCTGTGGAATGATAGCCTCTTTCCTTACCTTAGCTGTCAACCACTTTCATACATATTAGTATTTTGCTTGAATGAGGTTCAAAAGAAAAGCAGGACAGTGGATCACATTATTTGAAGTGCCATTGAACAGCAGATTCGGGAAGAGAAGATAAGTTCTTACTATGCTAGAAGTAGAAGAGGAGGGGGCAAAAAAAGACTTGATTCTGTTAAGTTCTGGTTTGTTCTGGTAAAAGAAGATACACAGTAAAGTGTCTGTTCAATCATCCAGTATCAGCAAGAGATGCCTGCAATCAGTATGGTACAGGATAAAACTCATGTATACAGTCTGTGTAACTAAGCAGTCATTCCCGTTAAAGACAAATAAAACTACATGGACAAAAAAAGTCCAAAGCTTTCTATGTCTGTATTATAAAAGCAATAAATTTCAATTCATTCTTACCTGTATTTCTATCTGTGTTGAAGCTGTTTGATCTACAAAAAGAAAAAAAGACAGAATGACTAGGTTGAGACAGAAACGTCTGGCTACTGAATTTTACATTAAGGATATTTTACCAGTCTAACAAAATAGCAACACTGATAATTTGCGTTCTAACCTCAAGCCATCACTGCTACAGCATCTTGTGGTATTTTAGGTATCCTGATAACTATTTTTAGCACTACATGTGGGGACTGCACTATCAGCACAGGCATCATATTGTATCTGTAATCGACTACCCATTTAGATATTCTCTCCACAAGCAGTAAGATGACACCAGCAAAGAGTTCAGTGACAAAGTATAAGAACATTTTTTTAGAATACAAAGCAATGTAATACTGTGAACATTTTTAAGTCTGTGAATTTCCTCAGTTAAACAAAAAAACCCCACTCTATACAGGAATTCCACCTTGGCAGAAGGTGAAAAGAGCAGCAGAACTGCTTCCTACAGCAGCCAGCCTGCTGCATAAAACCAACTCTGTCACCTCTTGCTTTACGTTTGAAGCATTATTTATGCTAACTCCCTGTGACATGTCCATTCATCTCAGCACTGTTCATCTAAATCAATTCTAAGCTACTGCCAAGAGCTATGAATTCTTCATGCTGTGTTGCAGTCTTACCAAAACTCATTTCCTAGCTTACCTTGATGGGGGCAAGAATTTTGGTACTTGCAGCATTTCATCTTTATAAGTAAACGAAACCACAGCATACGGACAAACATGTCTTGGTCTTCGCCTTATCTCATCAAAGCCATATTCGTAAAAATAGTACTAGAAAAAGAAGTGAACACAATGTTAAATTAGAAGTCTGGTAAACTGTATTCTGCAAATATACATGACCTTTCTTCACTGAAAGGTGTACTCTTTTACAGGAATAGCTTACAAAATATAGCTCATAATTAATTTCTTAAATAAGCAAAGGGAGTTTGTTTGAAACCCATTATGCCAAACATTAATTGATATATAAAACAAGTTGTAAGTTACTATAACAAATCACTTTCATGTTCCTTTTCCCAATAGCCTATTTCTTCAAAAGCTTATACCTAAAATAAGGAACCTTTTAAACGCTGTTCTCGTATGTACTTTGTAACACAATCAATTAAAGGAGGGAGAAGAAGGTAAAAAAATCACCTTATCAAACACTGAAAGGACGGACAGGAGCTAATCAAGAATGAAAAAATAATTTTGCAACATTTATTTGAAAGTATATTCTTGATGAGGTAAGGGACAATTAACAACAGCAAAACAATTTCTCTGACGAAAGTAGATATTTCTATGAGTCCATCTGCAGTCCATCTTTAGTTCAGTCACAAAATTCTAATGTTAAAGTGTTAATCTAGGCAAGTTCACAATCAGAAATGAGAACATACATTCATTTTCTAGCTGTCTGATTCAGTGCCCAGCGTTGATTTACAGAAGTCAAAATAAACTGTAATACTAAAGAGAATGCCATTAAGTGAGCATCCTGAGATCTATGGTCTTGATGGGATAAGCCGACTGCAATAGATAATGCAGCAAGAGAGATGGAACAGCTGGAGGAACAGAGATGCTTGCAACTGATTCCATTCTCTCCTCCCTCACCATTTCCAAACCTGAGAATTTGGCAAGGGAAACAAAAGGGGGTAGAGGTGGGGGGGTGGGGAGTGGAAAGCTGCTCTTTCCTAGGCAATGTTTTCCCTTTTTGGAGCCTCTCTTCCTACCCACAAGCCAGTTCTACTTTTACACTTCAAACCCCACATACTATCGCGTCTCCTCCCCTGCCTACATTCCAGTCCCCATGAACATTCCCTAGCTATTTCCTATTCCACCTACAACCTAATCTGAAGGAAATCTTCTCCATCAGGTCCAGGTATGTAGAAGGGAAACAGGAGAAGCTGATGTGTTGCTCTATAATTTCTAATACAGGCATCTGTGGTCTACTGCTAAACATAGACCAGACTGCAGCTTTACAGGACAGGCTCAGTATTTGTTGTATCTTCAATGATTTTACCTCCATCATTTCAAAAGTTCTGTTTATAAAGTTCTTATGTAAGAAGTTAACGCATGCTCAGCTTTCATCTACCTGAGTACGTTCGTAGGCTCGGTAAGCCAACAAGGAGGTTACTTTATTAGCATTCTTTGAAACATGACACTCATGCTTTGGTGTTGGATCCAATGCGCTCTTTACTGTTGATTCCATTGCTTTCATACCAATGTGGTCATATATGCTTTTCATTTTTCCCTGTAATAAAGCAGAAGAATTGTAAGCATCAGCTTTTTCCTGAAAACTTGCAAATTGTTTCAAGTACCAAAGGAAATAAGAGCAGGGAAATGAAAATAGGCCGTTAAAAAAGCTATTTGTAGAAGTACATTATTTTCATACTTTCAAAGAAAACAAGACATCTTTACCTTTGATAAAAATTTATCATGCTTTACTTGAGCTCAGTGTGAACGTCAGATTTTAAACGTAGTATGGTTCTAGCTTCTCTATAAGCAGGTAATTGTGTAAATGGAAGTTCAATAAGTTAGGTTAAAACCACCTTTATTTTATCAGTAAGCAAGATAATCCTTCAAGAATAAGCAAGATAAATTTACCTTTATTATTTTAAAAACAATCACATCTCCAGTTGCTCCATCTTCTAGAGGATTAGGCTGCAATAAATCGGCATACCTGGAGATATATACACCTGAGAGGTGTATAAAAAAAAAAAAACAAACAAAACCACAAAGCCCCACATTACGCTGAATGTTAAAACATTATCAGAAGAAGCATTACATGTGATTAAAGCTCAATGTGTACCAAACAATAAAGATACTACAAACTTTTTGTAATACAACCAAAGGGATAAGGACGTGTTCATAATTTGCAACTTCAAGACAGTAGAATAAATGTTTACTTGCACCAACTGCAGTATGAAACACCACAGCAGAACATAGACACTAGCTCAGCCGGAAAGGAGCATGCCCACATTACTTAAAGTGTTATGACCAAGAGGACAAGCCCTGCCCAAAGGCTATACAGATATTGCTTTCAGGTGTCCTTCTGCAATCACATGAGGTCCTTCTGTACAATGTCCCACTGCACAATGTGGAGATACGCAGTGAAGGTATGACTGAGAAATAAAGCAGGAAAACACTGGCACCCTCAGCAACCTTGCATCTTACACTGCTGACAAAAAGACACTGTTTTGGAATCGTGAATTGACACTCAAATGGAAAGGTATACTAACTTCTTGCTTTTCAACACTTCAGTCATAATTTCATAGATTTGAAGGCCTCAAACACACACTGTCATTTATGGGTCTAGCTGACTACCTCAGATCAAATAACTCCAATTCAACTCAGCTACTCAGAAAAGCATCCATTGTGCTTAGGTTCCTTGCATTCCAGGTCTGTGTTTAACTGCTTTGATAAATTGCTCCAGAACCTTTACCAGCCAAAACAGTAAAAAATTATATGCTGATATACCTTTGTTTCCCCCCACCCCACCACGCCTCGCATCTGTTCTGCTTTCAACATTCGTACTGGCACCTCTGTATCACATTATTCTTACAATGCATAGCAAAATTACTTAATTTTCTAACTGAAAAGCTTTGCAAAAGTAACTTTGCATCTTGGAATTTCAAATCTCTTAATGCCTTGTGACTCTTCCAAGTCTCCAATTTACCTATGCTCTTCTTGGATTTGTGGATTCAAGAACTTTAGTTATGTCTACATCAACAGTAAGCTGAGCTACTATTTCCATTAGGTATTTCTGACTGCACATACATGCATATGCGTATGTACAAACACAGAGAGGCACACAGCCATAGACTGCATTAGTTCTTTGGCCTTCGAATTTCCCTTTGGGAAAAGAATTTAAATGAACTAGTCAAAAACAGAGTTATGAAATAATGTTCTGATGTCAATCTACTTTCCTAAAAATTTCTATCTGTGATGTTCCTGCAAGAAGTGACAGGAAAAGTACTGAAAGTTTACACAACTGCATCACATTACCCATCAACACATACTGAATAATACCAGCACATATAATTAAAAGATAGTTACCCATGGAAGGGCTGCCGAGAATTGTTATTTTGGAGTGGCCCACCTGCAGTCCCTTTTCACAGATGCTTTGGATCTGAAGAGAACAGACTTTTTTTTTAAAGCAAGTCTATCAGGAAAGCCAGAATACTAACAGAACAAACGGTGAGAAACAACAATTACAGAATCTTGACTGAGCTAAAAAAAACCCAAAACAACCCCCCCAAAAAAATCCTTGCAAACAAAGCTACCCAGAAGAAAGACTAGCCTGAACTGCTATATAAACTGTTGAACTGTGCAAGTCACTCAGTATGAAGCAGTTACACAGACTCACCCATATCTTAAAAAACCCAGCCTCCCCATACCTTAAGCACACTTCATGAACATTACTTGCTTTTAATATACAAAGCAGAAGTAAACTTGCCCAATATTTGAATACTTAAGAAATCCTGGCTCTATCATAGCAGAAAAAAAACACAGAAATTCCCTTTCCATCACTTTCATTAAAAACATACAACCAAAGAAGAGCCATAGAAGATAAGGTCCATTTTCTAATATTACAGGTTACCTTCTCTTTAAGGTAACCTCTTCTTGACACACACACAAAACACACCCCTACCAAAAACCAACTGCAATAAAAACACACAACATCCCTTTTCAATTAAAACACAAACCCAATAAAACCCTGCATGCCATCCAGAAAATCTATCCTTTTATTTATAAAACAGAGAAGATACTTCAGAGACACATAAACACAGCACCTTAAATTGCAGAGAATAAAGGATTTAAGTGGTAATGTAATATCATATTCTTTACCATCCTTCTATACTTTTCAGTGCTGAATTTTGAAAAAATAACTTAAAGATTAATAAGTGTGTCAATAAAAACACTGCATTCAAAAACCCAAAAACTCTTAACTGAAAACGAAGAGAAAGCATTTTACATGCAGTTTTGTTTTCTTACCTGAGGTCGATCAACCATCAGAAATGCATAGGTTTCAGAAAGCTCCTTTTCTAGGCGACCATCAAACTTCAGCTCTCTGCGTTTTTCTGTGAACTATTATTACAGAAAGCATTTAACACATGTAGACAGATTACTGCTTGACATTCAAGTGTCAATGTTTTAAGGCCCCATCCATGTTAGCAGATCCAAGTGTACAAAAATAATCAACATATAATTTGAGTGAGACTATAGTATGTTAAAATTAAATTTCAAGAACATTATACCCCTGGGAAATATCACTGCCTTAATCTGCATTAAGGTTTCTTTGGTTTCTTCTAAGGAATAAACACTCTTCAAACAAACCTGTGCAGTAATTTTTTAGTGTTATCTTTGTAGCATAACTATCTAGAAACATCCAGCTCAATGCCTTCCACATCATCTTTGAAATTCCAGAAATAAGCCTTTTCCTCTTTTTAGGAGACAGACATTACCTCTTACATTGTGCGTGTACTTTTGCAGTTGCACCTCACTGCTACTGAGGTGGTTTTCATCGGTTGCAATATTCCTTAGCTGTAACCACGAATCATAAATATTCTAGTAGCAGAAAACAAAATGCTTCAGAGTTTACCTTCTTTTCAAAATAATAGTGATAGTAAACCAATTATATATTCTATTAGTCCATACATGAAGCTTTTTGGCACTGGGACTGAAAACTCATTTCACAGTTACGAAAGCAAGCCAAGTCTGGATTTAAGAGACACTAGATAAGGTACAGCAGAAGCGCTTCAACCAAGCCACTCCACTTACTAGTTCCAAGTAATCAACTGTCTTAGGTAACAACAAAATTACAGAGACTATGTAAACTTAGTATCAGAAAAATATTATTATCTTAAGTTTCACAGGAGGCATAAGGCCTTTCAAATAAGGCACTATAACATCTTTCCAGGTTATTAAAAATACATAAAAATTAAGAGAATTATTGAAAACTAAAACTGCACCGAGATAAGTGGTGCCAAATAAAAATTTTCTTATAGTCTGTTTTGAGTATCTGGCAGGCATGATTTTATGTCTATGCAGTAATAAACCTGCCTGAAAAATAGCTGCTTGCTTTTTGGGTGATGCGAGTTTGCAGTTAAATATAAAGCACGTAAGTAGAAAATAATTTCCAGGTCTTTGCCTCTAGACTCAGAAAAAACATTCAATTTCATTTGACTTGTACCTTATTCATAAAGAGAATCCACAAGTATACTCACTTCCTTTTCCAACAGTTCACTATGAACTAAGCTGGCTCTCTTATAATTAAAATTGGACTCCGAACTTGGTTCCAAGTAAGATGAATGCAGAATCTTCACAACATCCTCAAATTCTCGAGAGCCTACAGCTACTGGCTGAAAGAGTGCTATAAAGGAGAGGAAATAAAATAATAAGTCCCTAAAAGCATCTGAAAAAAAAAAATCTAGAATTTTCCAATCCATTAACAGTTTATACATAAAGACAAATGGTTCATGATTCATTTTAGAATACAAAGTACCTAAAATATTTGAAAAAGTTGGAATTTAGGCAAGAAAGTCACCCAGAATTATAGCATCTTAAAAAAATCATTTTTTACACTTTTTATTACTCAACAGCTAGTTCTCAGAAGTTAACGAGAAGCACCTCAAATCCGAATTTACCCTTTGAAAACATCTGATATGTATCACAAAACCCTGTAATTAAATTTTCAGAACTTTAATTAAACTAATTAGCTCTTTTAATTAAGAACCAGGAACAAATTGTTCTAATAAAAACATCAACAACCATTTCATAGCTTAGCTTCTCTTCAGAACAGTTACAGGGTTGTTTGTTTGCTTGTGGTAATTAGGCTAAATATGAATAAATTCAATACTGTTTTAAGAAATCCAACAAGCTACTATTAAAAACCAGAGTGCCTGTGTTCATGCTTTATGATCTTCTCCCTTCTGATAACTGCTTTAAAAGGAAAGTCCTTCATTTGTTCTTGTACAAACTCACCACCTTGGCAAACCTTTGCCTAACTTCCCACAGCGAAATGTTCATCTCCCCAAGCTTCTTCATTTGTATTTGGGTACTGCAAGTGAGGAACTGATCAGAAGAGCAACCCAAGAGTGGCCCAGCAGGGACTCCAAGTACAGACTTTGAGAGTAATGTCTGTGAAAATACTGCTCCTGGGGAAACTGAACTAGTCCAGTACAGCAAGTGTTTTTCTTCTCAGGGTAACTTCCAAAATACTCACAAGAAGCTCAGTATTTTCGTCGTATTTGCTAACTTCAGACAGAAAGTATTCCCAGCAGGTACTTCTGAGACTACTTCTGCTCTTTTTGTAGGAGGGTCTGTTTTTCTCTACCAAAATAAATCACCAAACCACCACCACCTGAAATCACTAGAAGTTACAATAGTGAGGAATGAACTACAACAGTACTAGTCTCACATAAAAGAGAATCTACCATTACTCTAACAGCAAATTAAATTTAATTACATCTTTAAAGTGTATCTCCAACTTCATTAAATAATATGGTAGTAGATTTAGATAGCAACCTTTTCCTCATTTGCAGGAGATATTGTGTTAGCCTCAGTATAAAACAAATGTTCTAAACGAAAACTGAATTGTTTTGTGCTATCTAGTAAGAGCTGCATTTACACACACACACTTTATAATGTAATACCGCATCTAAAAACCAAAGTAAAGCAACGATTCCAACACCACCAACGAGTAATGGATTTTTTTAAGAGTGCAAGTTATGAAAGTAATTAAGAAACCATTCTTATGTAACATCCTTTTTAGTAATGATGCCTTCATTCTTGAAAGGCTGACAGCAATATAGCAGGAAAGATAACTGAAAGAAATTCTCAACTTGGTATTGCTGCAATTGAACATACTTGTACTGGGAACACTTACTAGTAAAATACAAAACAAGCCTCCTATAGATATACACACATTGGAAAAGCACCTCCTGTCCCACCCCATCCCAAAACACCTCTTAGACCTTTCTGACAAGGAGTTATTAAACTCTGGTGTTGCAGTGCATGAGTTTCACACATTGCCTGCTTCTCTTCTGTCTAAAAGGACCAGTTAAGGTAGAAGGTTACCAACGCCACCAGCTTGTCCAAATTTCCTGTTTCCTTAACAGTGATTACTGTACCTCACCCTTTGTCCCTCCGCTGCCCTAGAAACGCATGTGCAGTCAAGCCCAGCCTATTTCTTCCGTCCTGAGTACAGGCAAGCAGAAAACTCTGCAGGACTGGCTACAAAGAGTGACCACAAACTACACACAATGTCTTGCCTACTTCCCAGACGGAAATCTAGGAAGAGGCGTATAATTACATCAGTTAATATCCTGTCATTCATTCAAATAGTGTCAACTATATTCGCATTTGTGTTTAAACATTTCCTGCTTTGTGCAAAGTTCTGATGCACAAGCTGAGACAAAGTTGCCCAAGAACAGCATGTCTCCCTGTTCTTCAGCTAGGAAGAACCTACATAAGCTACTACACAACTAGATCTCAACAAATTTGTGGAAGAGGTCTACCTAATGCCTTAAATTATGGAATACAATAGAGATTTCTTCAAGATTGTTGCGGGTTTTTTTCCATTTCTTAGCAGAGGACTTAAAGCATGTTTTACTACTATTATTACTTATCATTCAATAATAGATACACTTCCTTGTACTTTGCCAAATTTATACCCCAAACAAACATCATCTAAGTTCATCAGAGATACTACTGAAGCTAGAAGAAAGGCTGTTGCTACCTTTGTAGTAGAAGACAAACTTAAGTACTTCAGCACAAAAGTCACTTTTGAGATTCCAATTTTTCAATCTGAGAACATACAGAACACTAAAACAAGACTGATTCCACCCAACTGATCACATCAGTCCAAGACCTTACCTCCACCTTCCAGTAGGAAAATGCTTAATAATCCAAAAACTTCATTGTAAAGGAATTTCTATGCCTTTGATTTGCACTGCCCATTCAATACAAAGTGCACAAGACCAGCAACTACACATATAATCTTGCCGTAGTTTATTTCATGCATAAATTAAAGTGATCGGCTTCATGATCAGCTGTCATCCATTGACTGAGAAATAAAGGAACATGACTGAAATCCACTGAATGTATAATCCTTACACAACTAGCACACTGCTTATGTTCTGAAGAGTACTTATGAACACCAAATTCTACTCTGACACCTTTTCACATATAGCAGTGGCACACAACCCACACTTGGTTTGAGAACTAGACAGCACCCTCTGAACATTTCTCTTCAGGGGCGGCCTGCTAATTTTCTGTCTATTGCATTGCGTTTCCAAGTCGCCAGATGATGGATGGAGCAAGCAAAATCTGGTAAACTGACTGCAGGACTGTAATCATAAGTAAAAAAATTAGTCACTTAACTTTGAATTCTAGAGAAATTACCACATGCAACAGCAAAAAAAATTAAGAGTGCATGGCATAAGCTTTTTTCCCTTGTTCAATTATGTCTCTTCAAGCACACTAATCATATGCTTCATGACAGGCATAAATCCACTTTCACAGTTCTTCCAGAACTTGAGACACTGCAGGCTTCAGGCTCTTCCTAAAAACCTGAAACCTTACCTAACCAGGTAAGTAGCAAGGCAGTACTTTTCAATTTGTCACCTAAGCATTAGTACTAAAGGGCAGCTATTTTCTAAAATATTATGGTCACTGTAGAAGGGCCTGTACCTGCCTTAGCCAAGCAGCTCAGAAGAAAAAAAAAAAAAAAAAACACACGACAAACCCTGAAAAGTACTGAACTAGACCCTCCATAGAAGTCATCAAATCCTATGTTCAAAGGCAAAGTATGAGATTCTGAGGACTCCAGTCCCACATCACTTCAAACACCAGTCATGTGTGCACATGTATTTTTCAGGCTCACTATACAAACCTGATGTGGGTATGCTGCACCTTTATCATACCTGTTTAAACAGTCATTTATGTAAGGACTTATTTACAGTATCCTTGTAACACATACAAGTCAATTACTGTGGTTTTTGCTGGCTTATCCTACAGAAGTAAAAATAAGTAAATAAATACTAGTTTTGTTTAGTTTCTACCCATTGTATTGGAACATA